TTATTATTATTTTATGAGTATGCATGTATTGCCTGCCTGTAGGTAAGTGCACCCATGTCATGCAATGCCCAAGGAGGTCAGAAGAGGCTGTTGGATCCCCTGGGACTGGAGTTACAGACAGTTGTTAGCTGCCATGTGGGTGCTGGGATTCGAACCCAGGTCTTCTGCAAGAACAACCAGTGTTCTTAACCCTTGAGCCATTTCTCCAGCCCACTTTTACTTTTTTTAAAGTCTTACTACATTTATCTATTTTGTATGTGGGCACAAGTGTGGAGGTCAGATGACAACTTGCAGTAGTTGGTTCTCTCCTTTCACCATAGAGGTCCTAGGGATTGAACTTAGGTCATCAGGTTTAGTAGCAAGTACCTTTACCCACTGAGCCATTTTGCCTGCCCCTGAATCTATTGCTTGATAATAATGTATGTCTCATCTCCATTCCAATTCCACTGGTTCATACATAGGAATTACTGAGAACTGTGCTTTCATATCATTTCTAATTGAACTTGAAGGATATCAGCATAATTATTTATATGGTTATGCCTTCTATTATGACTTTATTATTAAAAGGGGCAAAATGCATCTTGTTCATTAAGAGTCATAGTAGGTATTTTAGTTCTTTCTCTGAAACAACACTGGCACCTGGTGGCTTTGTTTAGTAAGCACAGACTTTTTCTTGAACTGTAAGTGCTTCTCAGGCCCAGTCATGGATTTCAGTACCTAGAAGGTTTACTCCACACAGGTCCTCTGTATACTGATTTGTCACCTAAAATAAATGCTATCCAGAAAAAGCTACTGTTTATGAAAGTAATATTTACCTCTTTTATTTAGGCTCACCACATTGCAAACGCAGGAAACATACTGCCTTTGGTATATGTTACTTACTTTAAATAACTTCAAGCTTTTTTCCTGATTACAAATTAAGTCAACTTTTGACTTGAGAAGCAGAAATGTATGGGGAAGAAAATTAAAATACTCTGTCACATACATACAAACATTGTTTATATTTTGCTGCAATTGGTGTATACATAATCATTTATATGGAAACACTAAAGAATATATATTTATATGTTTCATGCAACATAGTAAAATTTATGTGTTCACAATATGATTTTATTAAACAGCTTCTTTTTGAGTCCCAAGTGCATGCTAAGGACGTACTCTACCACCGAGCTCAGCCCCCTTAACCATTTTTGAGGATATAATTAGTAACACTACACATGATATTCTACTACTCAATTTTTTTTTCCTTGTATTTGAGATAGGGTCTCTTTATACAGCCTAGCTTAGCCTCAAACTCACTCTATAGCCTGGGTTGGTCTTGAACTTGGAATTCTCATGCCTCAACCTTATAAGTACTAGGATTACAAAATGTGCCATGTCCAGCCTTCCACTACTTAGCTTTTTATTTACTTTTTTTTGTTTTGTTTTTGGTCTTTTTGAAACAGGGTCTTCCTGTGGCCCCAGTCTGCCTGGAACTCACTATGTAGACCAGGCTGGCCTAGAATTCACAGAGATCTGCCTGCCTCTGCCTCTGCCTCTGCCTCTGCCTCCGCCTCCGCCTCCGGACTACTTGGGGTTAAAGGCATGGCCACCAAGCCTGGTTTTTTTGTTTTTTGATAGAAAGTTTCACACTGCAGATCATGCTGGCCTAGAATTTACTATATAGCCTTGATTGCCTTGAATTTGAGTAATCCTGGTTTAACCTCCTGTGTGATAGGATTATAGCCATGTACCACCTATACCTGACTCTATACTTAATATTTTAATTTTTAATTACATTTTAATTTTATTTATACATATATGGAGGTAAGAGGACAGTTTTCAGAAGTCAGTTCTCTCTTTCCACCATGTGGGTCATAAGGATTAAACTCAGTTGTCAGACTTGGTGGCAGTACCTTAACCCACTGAGCCATCCTATTAGCCCCATTAAATAATAAGATTCTCTTCTGTCAGGCATTGGGTAATCCTAGTACTCCTGAGTCTGAGGCAGGAAGAATGCTGGTTTGAGGCCAGCCTGGGGTATGTAGAGACTTTCTGTCAAAAAAAAATTAAGGGCTAGGAATATACTCGGTAGAATTATTACCTAGTATGCACGAAGCCCTGGGTTTGATCCCCAGCATTTCGTAAACTTGTATGCACCTCTAATACACCCAGTATTCAGGGGGTGGAGGGAGGATGATCAGAAGTTCAAGGTCATCCTTGGCTACATAGTGAGTTCAAGGCCATTCTGGGATATATGAGCCCTTTCCTCAAAATAAATAAGTAAATGAAGATTACCTTCCAATATTGGACGTTTATCTCAGTACATAACTCCAAAAAAATACTTTCACCCCTCCTCTGATCATTTCCTTAAGATAGATTCCCAGAAATAGAGCTTCTATGCAAAGGTTGACTTGGTTCATATTTTTCTGTTTTCTGAATTTGAACTAAATTCAGTTCCGTTTCATTCGAAACAGAAAAAAAAAATTAATGCTATATTAATCCCATATTATTTTCTGAATTCTTCCTAAACAGCTTTAGAATAGGCCTTCCTCATCACTATACTGAGAAATTTTCCCACCCACCTGTCATAGGAAGGCTTAAAAATTCTGGATCTAGCCAGGCGTGATGGCTCCTGCCTTTAATCCCAGCATTTGGGAGGCAGAGGCAGGCGATCTCTGTGAGTTCGAGGCCAGCCTGTCTACATAATGAGTTCCAGGTCAGCTGGGGCTACAGGGAGACCCTGCCTCAAAAAGACCAAAAAAAAAAAAAAAAATCTGTATCTACAAAGTCTCTATTCAAATTCAGTCCACTAAACTAGAACAAAATTAAATTACAAACAATTGAAAGATGGTACACATGCA